CCTCCCACTGGCGTCAGGCGCGTCAGGAGCTTTAAGCACCAAGGCGTTCAAAAAGCTTTTTGAAGCTTTTGGTCTGAACGTGCCTTTAGACTGTCTAACTACAGGTCTGTGGTGACGATCCAGGACACTAACATTCTACATGTTTGGACATTCATGGACTTTGGTCTACTCCACATGGACTTCAAAGGTTTTAAGTCCTCTGAGATAACTACTGTTGTGATTGAGGGTGATACAAGAATACATTGAATTGAATTGAATATAATTGAATTGGACTTTGAGTCCTGATAGCGATGGATCTACAGCATGTTCTGAGTCTGGTCTTCAGGGGTTTATTGCTTTTACCCCCATGGCAGTCCAGAGGGGAGTCTATGGTATATATGTTTCAGAGTCCAACAAACTTTACAGAACAGAATGCAGAGAATCTGACCAGTGCAAATTAATTTTCTCGCTTGTTCCAGTTCCAGGAAAGTAAACCTTGGTGACGTTAGATTTTACATGTGTACTTTATACAGGTTTTAAATGTAGCTTTCCATAACAACTGTTTAGTGTCCGTTAGCCAGTCTCTGATTCCTGATTTTCTTTTCTCCTGCAGCAAATATTACTGGTGGTGGTGATGCCAAGGGGAGGGCCTGCTTGAAATAGATTATTTATGAAGACTATGTTATATGGTTAAAAACATGAATTCTATAAAAATGACATACAATTGAAGTTGATATCACCTTAAAGGACAAGGAAGGATAAAGAAGATTGGTATGAATAAATTCCGATGCAGCCGCTCTGCTTCGCCGCTGCTCCACGGCTCCTCAGATGACTGACAGCTGCCTCAGTGTGCAGCCTCCTCGCCGCTGTGGACTTTCTCTCTCAGGACAGAACTAAACTTTAACTAAAAACTAAAGCGACCGACTATGAAGGAGCTCTGGAGGAGTACATCCGAGACATGTTAGTGCCATATGAACCAACGCAGACTCTGAGGAGCACAGGGACCGGCCTCCTGCTGGTCCCAGAGTCAGAACTAAACACGGGGAGGCAGAATTTCAGATTAATTCAGCTAAAATCTGGAACAGTCTTGAGAATGAGAGACATGCTTCTTCCTAACATTTCTCAAATCCAGGTTAAAAACTGTTTTCTTTAGCTGTGCATTTTATCTTCTGCACTTTTGAATGTACTTTGATTTTTTTATGATTTTAATGCCCTGTAGTGTATCTTTCTTGTTTTGTTAAGCTCTACGCACTTGGAGTTTCCTTGAGTCCGAAAGGTGCTATACAAATAAACTTGCCTTGGCTCCCAGTCTACATCTAACGTCTGCATCTTTTATTCATTAGTTAACCAGTTCACGACCGAGCCTTTGGGAGGAGAGAGGCAAACATGAAACCCAAGAGTTTGTCAAGTGAAAGTCCTCATTTTACATTGGCCATTCATGATCCCCAAACTACCAGAACCTAATTACCCAGACCACAACGAGCCAAACCAAACCTGAGTTAGCAGAAGCTGTAAATGACCCTCACACCTACACCAGTCCCACACCAGTCCATACACTGTAAATATTAACGGACGTAGTCACGCCTATCTCCGCCGTTCTAACTAATGGGCCAAAAATTGTGCTCTTACTGGAGCTATCCAAAATGGGTAGTGTGGTCCCGCCCACAAGAAAACGGTGAAAAAACGCATCTGCGCATGCGTCAGCCGGCAAGAGCTCCATTCATTTCTTCAGCGCAGTTAGATGGAGCTGTGATCTGATTTCCCGTGCAAAAACAACTGTCCATTTTGACAATAAATTCTAATTTTATCTTAGTTTTAGTCTTTAAAACACAAACAAAAATACATTTCAGTCAAAGTCACAGTTTTAGTCAACTGATTTAACTTAGTTTTAGCCCAATTTTAGTCAACAAAAATATGAACCAATTTTAGACGACAATAATATGCAACTTTTACAAAATGATTGCTTGTAGCAGACAATGACAAACGTGACACGAGTAGCTTGAAGTGATGACTTTATTTTATTGTTCATGTCACAGGGTGTTACACGTACATTGGGGTGTAACATGGTTGACTCTGCGTCATAACACAGTGTCTATGACAAGTGGAAAACAATACTACAATACTTTTAACTCAGGAGCCATCTTGTTTTTATGTTGAATTATTTGGCAAAATAAAGTCGAAGCAAAGAAATGTAACTTCTTCCGATCGGATTTTGTCATGGTCTATTTTTCGTCTAGTCTTTTATTCGTCTTCCTCCCAATGAATGACTCCTACTCTAGTTTTTGCTTTGTTTCGTCCTCAAAAAAAAAAACATTTGTGACAAAAAATATAACGATAATATTTTGTCAACAAAACAAACACTGGTTCTCACTGACTCTGTTTGAGCACACCCCACATTCAAATTTCACTTTCTTAAGCCGTTCTAGATACTGCAGCGTCTGTGTCTTTTCCATAACCACAAATCTCATATATTTCTTCCATTAAACTTTCCTACTTTTGCTTATTGCTCACTTTTAAGCTCAGTCTTGTAAAATCTATACTTACTGTTCTCTGCATGCGGCCGTATCCTCTGGTGGACCTGGGACCTTACCGGACTTTCCCACTGGCTCCCGGTTTGCATCGATAGTCCATTTAAAGGTGCGTTTAGTCCAGTGGTGTGCAGCCGTTCCCCTGTGTGTAAAAGGCACTGTGGCCGACACGGTTTTAAAACTGGCTCAATACTGCTGTAGTTCTAAGGGAAACTTTAACCACTCAGATGCATCTTAATAGAAAGGCCCAGCTGGTTCTTATGTGAGGGAGGAAGGTGCAGATTCAAAGCTGACATATTGGATACATTTGTTTTGTGTTTTTAATTAAGCTATACCGAATTTTTTTTAAGGAGTTCATAAAAATGTTGTATTCTAATCCGAAATTTAAATAAAAACTTGAGCTCGTTGATTCAGCTGTGAATGAATACAGGCCGTGAAAAGTGCTGAGTAGAGACTTAGCGTGACGCCCGCTCTCCTCCAATCACAGAACGAGGCTGCGTCCTCTGGCCTCTAGAGCGCTGCTAAACACAGTAGCATGTTAGCATAAGTGGCTATAACTCCTCTGTCTGTAACTGCAGACACAGAAAAAAACGCTAAAACCACACAACAGTGAGGAAGAGAAGAGGGAACTAAAGCCAAAAAATGATCAAAGAAGAAACCAAGCCCTGAACATAGCTAGCTTACATCGTATCCTCTGGAGAGACTTGTCTATGGGAGAGACCTGCGGGACCGCCTCGGACTATCTATGCTCGGACTATCTACGCTCGGACTATCTATGCTCGGACTATCTATCCTCGGACTATCTATGCTCGGACCACATTCGGACGCGGAACTAGCGGTAATCTTTCAGTTATATGATTTGTTAGCAGTGCGTTGCTTTTGTACCATTTCATCAGGGATTGTTGTACAGCTTACAAGACGTTGCGCTAACGCTAATGTTTGCATATGTATCGGATCGCAAATAAGACTAGACGGCTCCGGGTTTTTTGAGCGTAGGGTGAATGAGAAGCCTGTGAGCGAGTTGGGGAGTGGTGCTAAACATTCAAACCTTGCAAAAACGGGTATAGCACCTTTAATACGGCCGGGACTTTAAAATGTGCTGTTGTAGAAATCTAACTGTGGTTATTAATCAATATAACTTGAGATTAAATCAAATAATGAATCATGCACTATCTGTTGTTCTGTGGAAGCGTCAAGGCCAGGGACCGAAGGGTAGCAGATGTTAGCTTCATATCTGGGCTGAGGAACGGTGTGTCCAGGTCATACTGATTGTTTTTTGCATTATCAGAGTTGTATCAGAGTAAGACGGCAGAAGGGAGGGGGTTATGAGCGACTGTTATCACTCAAACCCGGACTGGGAGACGCCATAGATAGACCCTATGGTGAGAATTCAGGAGCAGATCTACCGAGGACCTGCCAAGCTGTCGATGGTTGTATTTATTGTATATGTATCTACTGAAATAATAAACCACACTTTGATCGTATTACAGTTCTGGTTGTTTACTTTATATTTTATGATTGTGTCTCTCACTCTGTTTAGAAATTCCAGTGCTATTTAAGACTGACAGATCAAAAAACGGATGGACGCGTCAATGAGAGCATGTTTATGTATCGCCGCAGTACGTGGAGTGTCACCTTAATGGTTAACATAGAGCAGCTAGCATGGACGTTAGCCTGAGTATATAGACCCATACACAAGCCGCACTGCATCAGGTGAGTGCGCCGTTGCTTTAAGGACCAGGGGAGTCCACGTCTGAAAAAATAACCAAAGGCTCACTGGATTGCACTCGACTCTAGACCAATTGGAGCTATTGTTACACCTACTGCCCAAAGCTGCTCTGGTCTGTGCTTGGTTAGACAAAAACAAAACATATTTTGTTGCATATGCGTCAGTATTCAGGCATTACTCAATGGTATACTAGAAATCAATGTGAAAAAAGTACGTTGACAATACTTATTTGCGATTAAAATGCAAATAGTTATGTTGAATTCATTAATATCACCGAGTTTTTAGCATTATTCTCTCATTAAAACAGACCATGAAGTTTTGTGTCCATTCCTTTTCTTCTTGACTGCATAGACACCCCACACACCAGCGCTCTGGAGGTACCCTGCGGGGTTCCCGAGCCGGCCTGACCCTTAACCCTAGGGAACATGTATCACGGTATAACAATAGATCCAAAAATACACTTACAGTATTTAAGCTGTTGGTTTTGTCCTGTTGGGAAGACTGACAGAAGGAAAAACCAGGAACAGATTACATTTCCCTCTCTCCTGCCGTCTTGTTCTTATCCTAGTATTTATTTGGATAGACAATAGACCTCCCCCTGGAGACGTGGAGGAGCAGTGGCTATATTCAGAGTTCCTCCTGTGTGATTGAGCCGCTTACCCAATCTCTGCAAAGTGAACTTTCCTGGACCACTTGTATCTGTCATCCTCTCTCTTCGGTCATAACCTAATGGGACAACGAAGACGAGCACAGACGAATCACAGATGAACCGCTGCAGACGAGGTGTGTTAAAACATTTTACCATATTTTTTGCACTAAAAAACTGCCGGCATGGTGGCTGAGTGGATAGCACTCTCGCCTCTCAGCAAGAAGGTCCTGGGTTCGACCAGGGCCTTTCTGAGTGGAGTTTGCTAGTGATGGCAATATGAAGCCCCATGAAGCCTTGAGGGATCGCAGCCTATTACTCGGCCCATGAGTCGAAGGCTCGAGGTGAATCATGCTCCACTACGCCATCATGTGGACAAAAAAATACATAACACTCTTAAGTGCTTACAATGAATGGTGAGATCTAATGTTAAAATGTATATTTACAATCTATGGTCTAACGTGTTGTGTTTGAAATGATGCTTCATGAACTATGAACTATTTGAGTCTTTCAGTCAATTGTGTTGATACAACAAACACATCCAAAGTAATACAGTTCTACAGAAAGTGATTAATGGAGGAAAAACTACCAAGAGGTGGATTAATTAAACACAACAAACCATTTATTCCCAATAAATAAATACATTTACTTTGCAACACAAAATTAATTATGGGTAGACCAGGATTCGAACGCTATATCTTCTGCTTCGGAGTCCGTCATATACCGACTGCGCCACACAGCTGTTATGAAATGTATTATCCAGCGTATTATTACTAATAACTTGAAGCCTTGATATATGAGGTTTTACTAAAGTGAAACGTTTTTAATTGTATTTCATATGAAGTAGTTTCTCTATACTTAGTACAGGACTGCTCCACATCACGCACACACACGTACGCACACACACACGTACGCACACAGAGGCAGACGGGGACAGCCAATACAGTCTATGGTACAGCCGCGGATCACAAAGCACCTGTCAAAGCAATGCACTCTCCGAACTATATGAAGCACTATATGAACCGTCACGTGGTGCGGCCGCTACGCGAGGCTTCGAACGTCACCACACACGCCTCGAACCACGCTTCAAAAAATACGCCCCTTTTTTACTCGGTACACGCTTCGAAGACCCGGCACGCTCAGCACATCACTAGAGTTTGCATGTTCTCCCCGTGTCTGCGTAGGTTTCCTCCGGGTACTCCGGTTTCCCCTACCACTAAAAATATGTCCAATAGGCATGTCTGGCATGCGCCTCCTGTACTGGCGACCCCCGCTCCCATCTCTGTGTGGAGTGAGAGATAAATGCCCAAAATTAACAATTGTAAACCGCTTTGAGACTCAGATAACCCAGTGAAAAGGCGGTATATAAATAAAGATTACTTACTATTACTTACACTATTAGATGCTGATAAAAGTATTTGAATTTAACGCCTTATGTTCCGGTGCACCCTAGGGATCCATTTCTGGCTGTGTTTATAGACCTAGCTAAGAAAATAAAATTCTCCTTTGTCTTTTTAAGTTACAGAATTAATACCGTGACATAAATTGAGTCTCATTTGATATACACAATTATCCGGTTGTTTTGTTTCACTTCAAAATGCAGGTAAAACATGACTTTCGTTCTGCATGGTGCCTTTGTTCACTTTATTTATGAAAAGACATATTAATTGATAATGTGCCTTTTAATCAGCTGTCCCTATTGCTGCAAAAAAATTGGAATATTCATGTTTATTTCAACAGAGAGATTTGTGAACAATAATGAGACTGCGAGAGTTTGGTCTGGAGTTCAGCTCATGAAAAGTGAAAGCACAAACAAAAGTGTTGAGAGTAGTTTGACAGAAGTATGTTATTACTACTTTAGACTATTCCCCAGTTTTGATGTTCTCTCGGAGCTTGTCCAGTGCAGACGCTTTCCCTCCAGTTCAGGTCTGGTTTCTTCAAACTCTTGCTCTGTGTTCCTCCCAGGAGACTCCCCCTGCCTCCCCCCCTCCTCCCCCTTCCTTCAGCACACTTCTGATTGGTCCTACCTGTGCTTCCTCTCACTGCCCAATTACCCACACGTCTTTGGGGCCCTGTTTCCCGCCGCAGGAGCTGGTGCCAAAGTCCTAATGAGCTGAGCACTGAAGCCAACTCTCAAACTGCTAGCGCTGCAAACGGAGGAACTTTATCACAGATTATGTGTTGTTTGTGTTGATTTCAGCATTTAGCATAATATATTTACTTTGCATGTCATGTTTACAAATGTAAGTTTAAAATATTTGGATGAATATGGATTCGAGCAGATGGTTAGAGTGAGCAACGCTGCCCCCTTTTGGAGGGAATTAGACTATACTATTAGAATAGTATTATATACACAGTGGGCATTGAATTATTCTATTAGTTTATTTGACAGGGACTTTCTAGCTATGAAGGCTGTTTTTCATCAGCATTTACTGGACAGGTGTACATAGTGTCTTGGACATTGAAGAATAGTTGCAATCAAACCCAACTTAAACAGTTCCATGAAGCTAAGACTGAAACAATAATCTGTGTGCCCCAGCTCAGGCCAGCCCCAGACCAACACTCAGGCCAGTCCCAGATTGGGCTCTTCTCTACAGCTCAGTGGAGGTTGTGTGAGAGGAAAGAGGGAGCTGAGATGTAGTAAGCCTCCAACACCTCGTCACCTCCACAGTTTTAAAGGTGTTGTTTGGCAATAGCGGAGAATGCGATAGTAAAGGAAGCTCTTCAGTCTGTTCTGGTTCGGTTCCAAATATCAAGACCTTGAAGTTGGAGCAAGACGAATGTTTAGAAAATTTCATTGCTGGCAAAGATGTCGTGGCTCTACTCCCCACGAGCTCTGTTAGTGGCTAAGGGATGGCAAACTCAGATCAAATATGCAAACATCACAGATAAAGAAAAGAGAGCTTTAAACAAGGTGCTCCGCTCTGCAAAGAGGCCCGTGGGCTGTGAGCTTCCTGTTCTGGAGGTTCTTTATAAATCCAGACTTCTTAAAGCTGCACTAACTGACTTTGGGATTGTGAAGCCGCGGACTCGCTGGCCTCTCTCTTTCTGCTCCCCTCCCCGCACCCATGAAGCTATCGCCCCCCACACACACTCACTGTTGTTGACGGAGCTAGTGTCTCTCAATATGGATAATACATGGACATGGATTTGCACGTGGATGGCGTGACCATAGAACGATAGAACCGGGAAGCGCGGAGGAACGAGACTTTCTTTTGGATGGCTGTCTCGCTGTGTAAGCAGTAACCGGTGACGAAGACGAGGAAGCTTTAGGTTAGCTCCTCGGCTTGTTGTGCTAACTCAGCCGTCTATGCTAACGGAGACCTGTAGATTTCTCACAAAAGTGGGGGCTAGTGGTTCGCTGTGATTGGTCACAATCTGCGACCCGAAACACATTCTCTTCCTTGTTTCATCAAAACTCGATCTAAAATATAATGTCACGCCAGCACAAATCTGCACTACTTTTAATCAAAAGGACGTATATCCCAATGCCCTACACGGACATGGATAGCATTTTAGTAATTAATACAAAAATAAAGTCAGTTAGTGCAGCTTTAATAGAGCTTTAAGAATTATCAATGACTCTTCTGGCCACCCTGGAAAAGCCATGTTCCAGCTTCTTCCCTCTTGCAGAAGATATCGTTCTCTGAGATGCAGGACTCGTTACGCTAATAGCTTTTTTCCACAGGCTGTTATGAGTGTGAACAGAGCACTTTAATGATTTGCACTTGTTTTGAAACTGTTTTAGTCGATCGATTTCACAGTGACATTCGTTTACTGTTTTATTTGTTTTATTTCTGTACTTTTAATGTTGTTTTATGTCTGTATTTGTCTGTGCACACTGGTGACTTTTGCTAATGTATTCCAATGTGATTTTTTCACTGCAAATGGCAAATAAACGGAATCTGGAATCAAATTGTTTCAATCTGCAAAAGAATGTATCCCCTCCCACATGTAGACGGAGCTCAATGGACCAAATCCAGTCCTCAATACGAAATAGGTATGGTAAGACCAGGCTAGTCTATGTCCCCGACCTTAAAAGAACCTCTCCATTCGTCACATATACAGTGTACTTTAATAATACTGTATATGATTGAAGAGAGTGTCATTCAGACGGAGACCAGAAACCCGGGGGGAAAACGAACTACAAGTTACTGGACATCAAGACGAAAAAAGCCATAACCATCAAGAAGCAGATCAAGCCCACAGAGCACCTCTTCAGTGCGAGCAGGTGGGCAGAGGGAGGAGGGGGCTGGGGCCTGGTGTGTTCGTATGAAGCCTCCTCCTCGTGATGGATGGCTCTCGCTGGTGTGATTGATTTGGTGAGTGGTTTGGCTTTTGGCTCGGTGAGGTGAGGACTGTGATTAGGCTGTCACCAGGTGGGTCAGACTGGGATGGGTCCGCTCACTAATGGACTGTACATGGTCTCTGTGGTCGTCAGAACACGACAGGACTCGGCGAGTAAGAGAACACCACCATAACATGCTTTTCTATATCATTTCAAGATGTAGTCTGGGAAGTCGTATCTTTGGAGCTTTTAGCCAGGTTACAACTCAGTTATCTGCGTCAAAAGCAGACCTGGAGTAGCCTTTGCGCCATGCCAGGGGTCTTCAACCTTTTTCAAATCGGAGAGCTACTTTTACACAACAGAAGAGGCAGAGAGCTACTCCTTTTTGCAGTCATAATACAAATATATGTTACAATTATGACAAGAGTGAACACAAATGGAGAGTACATGTAAAATTCACTGTGATACTGTATAACTCTGTTTTCATATAGATAGGCAATGACAAAAACTTCCTTCAAGATCATGTTTTAAATTCTAATCCTTTGGGAGTTACCTGAAAGGGGCTGGCGAGCTACTGGTAGATCCCGAGCCACAGGTTGGAGACTCCTGCTCGATGTGGTCCGTGTACCTTGCGTTCATTCTATTTTTGTTTTTCTGAAATGCACATGGAAAAACAAACTCCAGGACTTGTTCTTATTTACATTGTTGAAACAAGAAATTGAATAACCCCCTTCCTAAAAGTAGTTTAATTTTTCCGGCTTAATACCTAACTCCGGAAAGTTAGGCTCTGTTTTTTTGCTTTTGCAGCCTGTTTGCTCGGATGGGACAAGAGGAGATGGATGCATTTGGGAACATTGGCAATCTGCAATCCACAATTTCTTTTTTTTTGGGGGGTTTACAACATTCAATTTTAGGGATTTCAGTTTGGTTGTCCCAAAATGAATGGAAATCCAGGATTTCGTGGCATGTGGTGCACTCGCTGGGTTTTTGTATTTGTGTGTGCAGCAAGGGGCGGAGGGGTAAAATGAATATTAAAACATTCATGTTTTCAGTATTTTGGTTTTACATACAGTATTAGATTAGATTAGATTCAACTTTATTGTCATTACAAAGTCAGAACAATGCAACAATATTCAGTTTACCATAAGCAGACGTGCCATAGAGCAAGTATAAGATAATATTTACAACACAGACAAATATATTTGCATACAGTATAAGAGGGTCTGTACAAGCTGCTATTGTGATTATAAACATTCATTATACAACATTACATTAAAGTGCATCTAATGGGCTTTCATAGGGCGAGGATTTTGGATTTTGCGATCGATGCTTCACATATTTGAAAACTGATAAAGCCCCGACTTTCTTTCTTTTAAATTGGGGTGTCAGAAACGGAAATAGAATGAACGAAAGGGACATGGACACCATACACTAATATTAATTCATCCATCCATCCATCCATCCATTTTCTTCCGCTTTATCCGTTGTCGGGTCGCGGGGGCAGCAGTCTAAGCAGAGACGCCCAGACTTCCCTATCCACACACACTTCCTCCAGCTCGTCCGGGGGGACCCCAAGGCGTTCCCAGGCCAGCTGAGAGACATAGTCCCTCCAGCGTGTCCTAGGTCTTCCGCGGGGCCTCCTCCCGGTGGGACGTGCCCGGAACACCTCCCCAGGGAGGCGTCCAGGAGGCATCCGGAACAGATGCCCGAGCCACCTCAACTGGTTCCTCTCGACGTGGAGAAGCAGCGGCTCTACTCCGAGCTCCTCCCGTGTGACTGAGCTCCTCACCCTATCTCTAAGGGAGCGCCCAGCCACTCTGCGGAGGAAGCTCATTTCGGCCGCTTGTATCCGCGATCTCGTTCTTTCGGTCATTACCCAAAGCTCATGACCATAGGTGAGGGAGGGAACGAAGATTGGCGGGTAAATTGAGAGCTTTGCCTTTCGGCTCAGCTCCCTCTTTACCACAACGGTCCGCTACAGCGACCGCATCACTGCGCACGCTGCACCGATCCGCCTGTCAATCTCACGCTCCATTCTTCCCTCACTCGTGAACAAGACCCCGAGATACTTGAACTCTTCCACTTGAGAAAGGACCTCTCCACCCACCTGCAGAGGGCAAGGCACCTTTTTCCGGTCGAGCACCATGGCCTCGGATTTGGCGGTGCTGATTCTCATCGCAGCCGCTTCACACTCGGCTGCAAACCGCCCCAGTGCATGTTGCAGGTCCTGGTTCGTTGGAGCCAACAGGACAACATCGTCCGCAAACAGCAGAGATGAAATCCTGTGGTTTCCGAACCGGACCCCCTCCGACCCCTGGCTGCGCCTAGATATTCTGTCCAGAAATACAGTGAACAGAACCGGTGACAAAGGGCAGCCCTGTCGGAGGCCAACATTCACCGGGAACAGGTCTGACTTACTGCCGGCGATGCGAACACAGCTCTGGCTCCGGTCATACAGGGATCGGATGGCCCTCAGCAGAGGACCCCCGACCCCGTACTCCCGGAGAACCCCCCAAAGGACACCCCGGGGAACACAGTCGAACGCCTTCTCCAAATCCACAAAACACATGTGGACAGGTTGGGCGAACTCCCATGAACCCTCGAGTATCCGATGGAGAGTATAGAGCTGGTCCAGTGTTCCGCGACCGGGACGAAAACCACACTGCTCCTCCTGGATCCGAGATTCGACCATCGGCCGTAACCTCCTCTCCAGTACCCTGGAGTAAACCTTACCGGGGAGGCTGAGGAGTGTGATCCCACGATAATTGGAACACACCCTCTGGTCCCCCTTCTTGTAGAGAAGGACCACCACCCCGGTCTGCCACTCCATTGGCACTGCCCCCGATCGCCACGCGATGTTGCAGAGACGTGTCAGCCAAGACAGTCCTACAACATCCAGAGACTTTAGATAATCAGGGCGGATCTCATCCACACCCGGAGCCTTGCCACCATGGAGGCTGCCAACCACCTTGGTGACCTCAGCCAGGGAGATGGATGTATCCGCCCCAACATCCTCAGCCTCTGCCTCTGTAACAGAGGACGTGACGGGGGGATTGAGGAGAACCTCAAAGTATTCCTTCCACCGCCCGACAATATCCCCAGTCGAGGTCAGCAGCTCTCCACCCGCACCGTACATGGTGTTGGCAAAGAACTGCTTCCCCCTCCTGAGGCGCCGGATGGTTTGCCAGAATCTCTTCGAGGCCGACCGATAGTCATGCTCCATGGACTTTCCGAACTCCTCCCAGTCCCGGGTTTTTGCCTCTGCAACAGCCCGGGCCGCGGCACGCTTGGCCTGTCGGTACTGGACAGCTGCCTCAGGAGTCCCCCGAACCATCATGGCTCGATAGGACTCCTTCTTCAGCCTGACAGCATCCCTTACTGCCGGTGTCCACCACCGGGTTCGGGGGTTGCCGCCGGGACCAGCACCAGAGACCTTGCGACCACAGCTATGAGCCGCCGCATCGGCGATTGAGGCAGAGAACATGGTCCACTCGGACTCCATGTCCCCCTCCTCCGCCGGGACCTGGGAGAAACTCTCCCGGAGGTGCGAGTTGAAAGTCCGTCTGACAGGGGGCTCAGCGAGACGTTCCCAGCAGACCCTCACTATACGCTTGGGTCTGCCAGGTCTGACCGGCTTCTTCCCCTGCCAGCGGATCCAACTCACGACCAGGTGATGATCGGTTGACAGCTCCGCCCCTCTCTTTACAAGATGGTGCCTATGTTTGGTTGTGCCTCTGCTCGTCACCTATATTGTTTTCCTGTGTTTTACATTACATCCACTGCCATCCTGTCTGCTCTAAAAACCAGCGACTGTGCCGTGGCTGTACAGACCTACGATAGGAGCTCTTTGTTTAATATTAAAGAGTGTATGGAGCGCCGTTTCAATGACTGGGGCAGCTACAGGAAAACTTTTCCTCCCCCGTTCACTTTTGCCCCCACCTCCCAGGAGTACCTGTGGCTGTTGCGACCCCCGGGTAACTCCAACAGGAGGGCGAGACGCAGAGGCTGCAGAGCTGGTGTCCAGGTCCAGATCAGACGAGCCGCTTGGAGGCTGTTTGGTCACGCTCGTCCAGCGCGGAGCTACAGGTGGCTGCGTCCCATTCCCCTCCAGCAGCAGGGCGCGGGAGACAGCGCGGCTTCCCCACTCTACGCGGGAGCAGACTGGACCCTGGTCTGGTCTCCGATGCTGTACCGGCTTCCCGTGTTTACTCCCGCGGACCGTCTCTGGACCAGCGGTGTGTCACGTGACCGCATGAGATGTCTGCGGCAGATCCCAAAGCGCTCAGCTGACCGCGCAGCTGCTTCACCTTCGTTCAGCCATTTTGGATTACTAAACGCCCGCTCCATCGCAAATAAGTCTTTCTCAATAAATGAGCTCTTCTCCAGAAAAGGCTTGCATTTCCTTTTCCTCGTTGAAACGTGGCAACGGGAGGATGAGTTTATCCACCTGAATGAACTCTGTCCAGTGGATTGCTCTGCTGTTGGGACGCCCCGCCCCTCTCGCCGTGGCGGTGGTCTGGCGGCCGTATTCAGAGACGCGTTTACATGCAGAGTGATGAGTATGGAGCACTTCACAACTTTTGAATCACACATGATGCAAGTCGGCTCTACAAACACATTTTATTGTGTTTTGATTTATCGTCCCCCTGGCCCTGCTGGTGCTTTCTTAGCTGAGTTTACTGAATTTTTATCGTCCATTTTAAGACTGGAGAAGGTCTTAATCCTTGGGGATTTTAACCTGCACATTGAGGATACTTCGGGTCTAGCTGCTGATTTTGTATCCATGACGGAAGCTTTTAATTTCATGCAGCATGTCTCAGGCCCCACTCATGTGAAAGGCCACACATTAGATCTGGTCTTTACATTGGGCCTTCATGTGGCCAATGTGAGTGTTGAGGATGTGCACCTAAGTGACCATTACGGTGTGTTTTTTGATCTGCTGGGATCCTCAGACCCTCGCCCCCTACCTGCTAAAGTAGAGAGGAGGATTATTACGGATTCTAC